TATCACGACGGCGACGTGTGGTAAAACGTTGCCGAAGAAAAGTAATTTATTTTCCTCTAAGATTTTCGCTAAAAGCTCGATGCGTTAACCGTTTCTGACGGTACAGTCTTCGGCTCGGCATAACATGTGAATGTAGAGTTCAGTTCAAAGTAAAAACGTGACTGAATCGCTGGTGAGGTTTCATTGTTAAGATAACGGGAAAAAATTGGGGTTTAACGTTTTAGGTCTACATGGGACGGTCAGGAAATGTATTAACTTTTAACCACTCGTGTTTCGCTATTATTTTGTGACATGAACGCCACCCAGGTTCGGCGGGTTATCTTACCTTGAGACGTTTACGTGGCAAATTGTCACCCCGGCTGACAAGGTAACCCTACCAAGGTAACCCGCCAGGGTGGATCACCCCGCCTATTATAAAAACGTGATCAAGATGAAATAAGACATTATATGAACAGGCGGGTTACGTCACCTGCCTAGGGTCCCGCACCTCCATGTAAAGAGGTCCTTAATATGTAGGGGCTTTCTCCTCTTTGGTTCTTAGTAGTTGCGCTCGAAACAGTTAAGTTTTCTCTTTTTAATGAACGGCAGATTGCAGTATTCATGCCTGTCTCCCTACTCTTGTTGGAAAGAGCTCTGATTAGAAGCTACTGAATTCTCAATTGCGTTATCAGAAAATTCAAATAAGAGTAAGATCGCAGCATTTAGGGGATGACAGCTATTAGCCGAGGCCACTTTTTGTTCATGTTCCGGGAGATGATCATTCAATCGAGAAATTAAAACATTCTTTTACTATCGCACGAAGTTGAACCTGTGTTGAGCGGTCGGTTTTCAAAGTCGGTAAATTTTTACTTATTAATTACTATAGTTTTCACCTCTATCAAGCGGTTACTTCTATTGAGCGCCCGTGGTCACCCTTTACTGAGTCTCAACGGCCTGTTTGTATTGTCACCCACCTGTACTGAACGGTAAGACTACTCAAATAAAACTAAGAATAATCTTTCAAGTAAATTTAATCCTTATTCATCTCCCGAAATCAATATTAAGAGTAATTTTGAGCTAGTTTTTGTACATTAAAAGGTCATCTATGACATAATATTACATTCTTTTATTGTTGTTGTTTTTTTTAATATCCTATTATGCGGTCAACCTGTATTGAGCGGCCTCCGAGCCATTTCCCGACGGTGGCCGCTTAATGCAGGTATGACCGTATGAATGAAGTAATCTGGTACACTCCAATCAAGGATTCACCTTTGTACATGAGTAGATAGGTAAACCAAACTTGAGACTCAACTAAATATCTTTATTTGACTAATCTCTGAGGATATTTCTACAACACTATAACATCATCTGTTCACCAAAGTGGCCATAATTTTTTTTTCGGATCTCTTTTGTCCTCAAAAACAACAAAAAAGAATGTCAAATTTTGTGTTAAATTTTTAGCCTTGATGGTTTCACGATCTACGGTCAACTGTTTACAAAATCTTTTTCTTATCTAACTTGAAATAATTTCAAAACATAAACGCCCGAACCATGTAAATATGATTCGAACCTGGAAGTACAAAATGTGTCGACTTACATACAAAAAAATTATCCGAAATCCCTGGTGCAGTGTCAAAGCCAGCCTAAAATTCTTGAGATAAGTCAGCAATGTTCTTCAGTTTTGAAGTCCCTCATAGTCTCGTGATTTCTCCCCACTCAGTTAATTCTCTCTTTCGTTTTCCCAAGTGCTGTCCAGCTCCGCCTGCTCCACCAGGAGCGCCAACTGCTCCCATGTCTCCAGGGGGTCCTTGGCCACCGGCTGGTCCGGGAGGTCCAGGAGGCCCTGGTCTGCCTGGGGGTCCCGCGGGATTTCCGGGATATCCTGGTATCCCCGGTGGTCCTGGTAGCCCTGGGGGCCCTGGAGGCCCTTTTGGTCCGTCTGGTCCTTGAGGTCCCGGGGGTCCCATGGGTCCATCTGACCCTGGGGGGCCAGGAGGTGGTGGTGGTGGTGGAGGTGGGGGTGGTGGTGGAGGAGGATACCACATCTGTCTTTTTCCACCTGGCCGTTAGAATGAAATAAAAAGAAAAAAAACTTCATTCAGTGAAGAAAAATTATCTTGTAAATCACTTAAGTCACGCCAAAGGCCCAAGAACGCGCATGTAAAGAATTGAATTAAAATAATCATTTCAGATAATAAAATATCGAATTCATCGAAACACGGATTGGTATTATGGAAGAAGCAGCGCCATTAGTGCTCCAATAATATTTCTCAGCAAGAATTGTTGTCAAGCTTTTATTTCTCCAAAATTTATTCATATAACTAGCCATAAATGAGCGTTCCACTCGAGTATAATTTACATTTTAAATGCGTCTGATTTCTATACTTTTCATTGCAGTTTTTTATGAGGAGAAACTGATTACGATTGATTAAGATTTTGCTGTGTTATGGTCAGCAGGTGAGTGCAGTCTTGAACAGCTACCACTCACTTGACGACAAGTGACAGAAAAGTGTAAATCAGTGAACTAACGCTAGCTTTCCTCGATGAATAGATGGTTGATCAACTATGTCATTCCCTTTTTTTAACCATACCCCTTACATAGTTGTCTGCATTTATCATCTTTATATCTGCGGAAATTAGAAAAGGAAACTCGCTTTATTAAATTACGACAAGTAGGCAGGTGTAACTACATTGCAGATCCCAGCAGTATGCAGGACTCTTGTCAAACACGAGTCAAGTCATGACCAAGCTTTAGATCGGTGGTGGAGCATCACGCCGCTGAATCCGAAGGTCTCAGTTCAACTTATTACGCTCGTGACAAAGCCATAAACATCTTTCTTTAGACAGGTATAGGTCAGTCAGCCACTTAGCGAAACGCAGCTCGTATAAGTAATGTTTTGCTGTTGTGGCAATGAAAGCCGCCGAGCAACCTGAATTTCGCGACCGACGCAGATGTCTTTAGTTCATCAGTTTACCAATGCTACAAGGCAACAGGTAAACGAATCTGCAATATTCTTACTAGATTCAAAACCCGTTTTAATATTTCTTAAACTCAGTTTTCTAACAGGGGCTAAATTGCAGGTGCTTGTGGACGACACTACCAACGGGAACAATGAAATTTTATCAGGTTCGTTATTGAATATTCACGACACGTGTGGTGCAGTCCGGCACCAGCCCACACGCGTTAATGAAGTCCCTCACACAATAGCGAACTGTTCCCTCTTTTGGGAGCAACTAACTAAGGGAAGGCAGCGTAAACTTTGTTACTTTAATCGTTTGCCATAATTTGAAGCTTCGTCATCAACTCATAACGATTTTCTTTTCGCACCCGATTTTGTCAGTTACTCCAAGCTTACTCTGTTATGGATTGATCGTGAAGAATTCCTTGCTGAGTGTTACCCATATCTCCAAAAATGAGGAGGAATAGTTACATAAATATCACTCTCATATTCATTTATTAATCCGCAGTTCATATAGATGATTTTTATATATTCGCAGCCGTATAGTGGATACTAGCATACAAAAATCGTTCAAAAAGTATTTCACAGTCATTTCACTGCAACATCTAACTTTCAAGCCTCGCCCGCATAAACGGCCAACATATGTTTATATGACTGAATACTTTATACTTATCCATTTCGGTCAACTTTTTTCTAATTTTCAGCATAAGAAAATTAATTTTCAATGGAAATTTTCCATTTTCCCTGGAGGTTTATTTCTAATAACATGCGATATCGAAGTTCAGTGTAGCAGGGACGATGGAGGAAATTACTCTAACTTGCCTTATGGAAACAATGGAACAAGGAATACTCTTAGATATATTTGAGATAAAGGAATAGTTCTGGTTAAGGTAAAATAACATTTAGTTCAGTTTTAGCAGAGCCTTTTTTTCTTACAAATCAACTGGAAAAAAAGGGCAGTCTTGAAGTCGTTTATGATTACCACGATTTTGATCCATTCCAATGGAGTAAGGTAACAAAAGAAAACAACATCCAACTGACCTGATTCTTGCTTTGCAGCAACTCGTATTTCTGTCGGCCATGATTTGACGAGGAGAATTATAGACGTAAAAACAACACAGAAAGTTAATCTGCCGTCCATGGTTCCTGCAAAGAACAACGCAAATGATTTAGCGGATTGGAAATGTACTTAGTGGTTAGAGAGTCTTTGTTGGCGACATACGTACCAAGCTCGTATTCCTCGGTCAAGGCAGCTTATCACAAAGGATCATCATGGTTACTTTTATATTGTGTGCGGGCTTTTAATTATTGACACTTTCACGTGAAGTTGAATTTTAATGACTCACCATTCTTTTGTCTTGTTGGGACAAAGTTGGAAGCCTGGTTGTTCGCTTTGAGTTTCTGGTGGACATTCACAGTTACAAATATTTTGCAACTAGAACATTTTGTTAAGGGTGTAATTTTAAGTGTTTTGAGAATAAAAAGGAAAAAAAATTCCTTAACTTGGGAGTAAGGGAGACACTGCCTATCGTCTTTCATAATTCTACAAAGCTCTCATTTTTTTAGCATCCGTTCAAACGGTGGTTGTAGTGCTGGTGCTAGCATCATGGTGGTATATGGTTTGCCTCTTGGTGTTGATTGCAAAATATCAAGGAACTAAAAGAAAAGCATCAGCAGTCTTTTTGACGAATTCATGAATTAAGTGCTACTCGTAAAATGGGGTATAGATTTGATCTTTGTTTTAGCTCAGAGCTGAAATCGATAACGATAAATTATTGCGTACTGGACGACTCTTTTGTATCCAATAGAAAATAGTTGTTTTTTTAACGAGAAATTACTGGCGAGAATAAACCTGATAAAACGTTGTCCGGAAAGGATATCCTGAAGCAAACAACGTTAATGAGGGAAAAAAGTAATCTCTCGAAAATCGCATCCAATATTTACCATAGCTGTAAACACAAGAAAAGAAAGGTTCCCAGAAGACCGCACTGTCCAATCATCGCTCAGCTATCGCCCAACCTCTCTCCTCCTTTTAGTCACCAGTCGTTAAGCGGACTGCAGATCAACAGGTGAATTATCATTGCTATTATATTATAATCATTACTTTCTTATTATTAACATATTATTGCTATTTCATTCTTCAGTTACAATCATATATTTTTTTTACATTCTGGTAGATAACTTCTCCTTTATCTCCCTTATACCTGTTTACTCTTGTGTTTCAACATAAGCTAAGTTTCAAGGAACAATGATCAGAGAAATTTGTGCGATAACAATTAAAACTACTAGTGAAAATGGAAACAGAACTGACGCATTGCGATACAGAAATTCATATTTAGAGACGGAAAAGAGCCAAAATATTTTCTTCGTTTAACTCCCCACTTCCTTTATGGTTCGAGCTCAGCCACTATAGACTTATTCACAAGAGATTATAAACTGTGTTTTTTAAACGGTATCCTGGTCCTTGTTCGCTGACAGTATATTTCCAAAAGAATTTGTGTCAAGCATGGTTTTTCTAAATTCAGCATTCTTTATCTCTATAGTATTGAATAATTTTGTTGACAACTGCCTTCACAATTATATTTTGTGTTTTTGCTAAGAGATTAGGTTACATTCTATTGTCTTTTTTTTCTTATTTGCTCAATTAATCTGGGTTAATATTTCACGATCCCATGGTTTTTGTCTTGGAAAATCATTTTTCCTTCAAACGGTACTGTTTTGTCTAAAATTTAATGCTGAAATATAGACGAGGGAAGCGGATCTTTCTACTACATACTGGGAGTATTTTTGTATTGAAATGGTTGAAAACGATCCACTCGAAACCTTCAAAACCAGCCATTTAAATTCTCCTTTTTTCTTACATAAACTAGAAATTTCGATGTGAAAGTGAGTGCTGGCGATGAGAAAAGAGTTTAGGTGCGTACAAATTCACATTAGTTGAAGAATTCCAAACTACTTTGTTTTATATCCTGGAAGGGACTTTGAAGGGGAAAAATTCCTAGAGCAGCAATTATTTTGGCAAGTTATTCCAGTAAGTCTTAATGGTTCACAAGGGATTACTTGAATGAGTTTAAAATAATTCCAGGAGCAACAGGTGTCATCAGGTTGCCTTTGCAGTTTTTGAGCTTACTGGCTTATGGCCGGTAAAGCTCTATGTCAACGGGTTTGTTAGTAAGTAAGGAAGACTTCACGAATCATGCCAGTCAAGTTTGCATAGCAGAAGTGGTTGGGCTGGGCATTTACTCAGGAAGCCTGGTAATAAAGTATTACTCATCCCGCCTTCGAAAAGGTCAATAGAAGCTCTCTAAGAGGAACATCAAGTGGAAAAAGGGAAAGAGAGCTGCCAAAATTAGAGTCCAGTGGGAAGGCCAATGGTTAATGCCCCTATGCTCCCCTGCAGGAGCGACGATGGCCTCATTTCCTTGATTCAATTATTTTTATTGGGACAAGATTGATGATGACAGTTTTTGTCTCTTTCTACCGGCTGATTTATGAAAAATGCTGTGTACGTTAATTTTAATACCATGTGTGAAAATTGGACGAATGGTTTCGATGATTTACGTGGAATCATTCAAATTTTAAACGCAAACGGCATTGTCAGTAGATCGGAAGGAAAAACAGCAGCTGTCAACGTCAAGCGATTCTCTAAACTGTGACCGTCCACTTGAAAAACAAATATGGTCGGAACACTTCGCCAGTAGCATGTTTGTTGAATAACAAGCCTTGCAGGTCCGAACAAAACATTTCTGGTTGTTTGGATCAGACACGCTCCCTGGAACGTGATTGTAGTGAAGTTACTGGTCGCATGGGAATCACGTGTTCCTCAATCGAAAGGCCTTTTGACGTCAAGATAAACACGCGTTCGATCACGAGTGTTTTGATAACTAACTGTGATTGGCCTACTAAATTCCCGGGTCTCAAATATAAACTGAATGAGCGCACCTCGCAACCGGCGTCTACTGCCACTGAAGACGACTGTCTGCACCACCAAGAAGCTTTTTTCTAAGAGTAACACGATGGATGAGAGAAGTAATAACCCTACGCTCGCCAAGTACATGTCTCTTGATCAAGGTGACAGCATTCAAGCCATGTACATCTGGGTAGACGGAACCGGCGAGCATCTCCGCTGCAAAACGAGAACTGTCAGCGAGGAACCAACTAAACCAGAAGATCTTCCCATTTGGAATTTCGATGGCTCCAGTACAAACCAGGCGGAAGGTTCAAACAGTGATGTGTATCTCCATCCTGTAGCTTTGTTTAGAGATCCGTTCAGGAGGGGAAAGAACAAGTTAGTTCTGTGTGAGACGTATCGATTTGACCACAAGCCAACCACAACAAATACGAGAAAAAGCTGCTTTGATGCTATGAATGTCGACCTTGCAAAGGTAAGGAAAATGTATCATCAAAAGCCTTCAGTTATCGGATGAATCTGTAAGAATTACGAAAAATTAAAAAAGGAAAAATTTTGGTGTTAAGGAAACACTTTAAAATCTAAATATAAAAGGAAATGAAATATAGCTGACCCCATTATTGAGATTTACAGCACACTCGAAATAAAACAAGTTTCGGTTGGAGAGTGTCGAGAAAGGCCGAGATAATGAGAACAACTCGCATTTTCATTTCATAAATCCTGTCTCGAATTTCCAATGCCCTAGTAACCTAGAATAGTGCAGAACAAACTACACCGTAATCTTTTCACCTCTGCCTGACTCCGTCCAATCTGTGTGAAGGAGGCACTCCAAACACACGACCTCGTGACTTGACGATTGTTCTAACGTAAAATCTACGTTTTCTTTCCCTTTGTTTCCTAGAAAGCCGCTCCGTGGTTTGGTATTGAACAAGAATACACACTGTTAGACACGGACGGCCACCCTTTAGGCTGGCCAAAGGGAGGTTTTCCAGGACCACAGGGACCCTATTATTGTGCTGTTGGTACAGGAAAGGTTTTTGGCCGAGATGTTGTGGAAGCTCACTACCGAGCTTGTCTGTATGCTGGTGTAAAGATTGCTGGAACTAATGCTGAAGTCATGCCTGCACAGGTGAGAAAACGTGTAATTCTCATTGCTTAAAATATTTACAGTAACGGTGAAAGTAAATAAATAAATGACCAAGTAATACGCCATGAATGGAGCAACATAATTCCTCATGAAAATATATTTAACACACCCCGTTACATGTACTGTGGGTGAGGAAATTGGTCTTCAAAATTGAGTGTTTATAATGTCACATTGTTGCTTGCCTTATAGTGGGAATACCAGGTGGGTCCATGTGAAGGAATTCAAATGGGTGACCACCTTTGGATGTCAAGATTTCTGTTACATCGTGTTGCAGAAGATTTTGGAATCACAGTCAGTTTTGACCCCAAACCTGTTCCAGGGAACTGGAATGGGGCAGGAGCTCACACAAACTACAGGTAAAAGACTTAACAGAAAATAATTCAAGCAGTAAAAGCTGTTTTAAGCATAACGGTGAAAATTTTCTTCACTGCTACAACTTCTACTGCTTCTTAATACTGTAACAGTAACAGTTACAACAATGTTGCAGTTACAACAGTGACTGAGCCAAAGTTTCACTGAGGATGAACCCCACAATTCTTCCTTTGGTAAAAGGCAAGGACAGTATACAAATAATAGTAGTAATCTATTGAATATTTATACAGTGCAAATTAACATACTGGAGGATATGATCAAATGCACTTTACACATTAAAATTGACTACAAATTACTGTTGCCTATTTAAAATTTTGAATTTACAATAAAGCGCAAAGATGTATACGATATGAAACACTTAAAAGAAATTATAAAGTAAATGCTTCCCTACGATAGTGAATTTTAAGCAATTTCTTAAAGGTGTTGAAATTTTGCAATGACTTTAATGATTGCGAGAGACTGTACCAAATCTTGGAAAAGGCTTGATTGCCAAGTGTTTTTTTCAATCGTCACAAATGGTCTTCCAACTGGATACTGGTACTTGAGCAGAGGTTGCCTGTCAAAGTCTCCTTGATGGCGACCATGCTTTTTAAATAATTGGGGGCGTGTCCATGAATGCACTTAAAACAGAGCACAGCAATCTTGAAATTGATTATAAACTTAATAAGCAGCTAGTGAAGACATATAAATGACGATGAAACTCTAGTTACCGGTAATGAAAAAATGGAATCATTAGTGAGGCACCTGTCTGAGGTAAATCTTATTTTTTCCATGAACTGCTTTCTAGTACCAAGCCAATGAGAGAAGAAGGAGGAATAAAGTACATCTATGAGGCCATTGAAAAGTTATCAAGCAGACATGATTACCACATTCGGATGTATGACCCCAATGAAGGTGAAGATAACAAAAGACGTTTGACTGGGCTGCACGAGACATCATCAATTGAGAACTTCTCTCATGGAGTGGCTAATCGAGGTGCTAGTGTGCGTATACCTCGTCAGTGTGCTGAAGATGGTAAAGGCTATCTTGAAGACAGGAGACCTTCATCAAACTGTGATCCATACCAGGTCACTGAAGCCATTGTTAGAACGACAATCTTGCTAGCAAAGGTGTAATGAGGAAAAAATCCTTGGTATGAAATAAGTTTATTACAGCTATCATAATGATACATTTTTAAATTGTTAAATGAGAAAGAGTCAGTTATTTACACTGCAAATTGTATAAGCATGCAACTATTTAATTAACTTTAAGATTCCTGGTAGCTCACAATATTAAATAAATAAAAATGTGAATCAGATGAACTGAAGTCGACATGTTGAAACCTTGTGCTTTCAGTTTGTAGTTCTGTTAATTACGGTTTTGATTGGTTATCAATTTCACACTTGCCATGTATGAAATGAAGTTTTAAAACACATGCTACAATGATTTGCGTACTTAAACTGTTCATGATTATTTAACCTTATTACAAACAATGTTTATTTAATTGAGAACTTAATATAAAGTGTCCAATAACTTTTTTATATTGACATGTTACAGTTAAATCTAGTAGTATTATGGTAGTTACCAGAAGGCAATTTTTCACCATCAAACTAAAAAAAAAAACCAAATATTTCTAGTATTGTTGCAGTTACAAGAGACAAGCCAATCATCTTGATAGAAATTTTAAAAATGTAAACAATCATGGTAATTAGTTTGTGGCTTGGTTGGGTGTCATGATCTCTAGTGCCATTGTTTGTATATCAATATTGGTTTTATGAATTAAACAGTAGTTATTGAATTGATTCTTTCAAAAAGTTCTACAGTATCAATAGCTGTTTAACTTCTAAATCACCAAGAGACATTTTGCTTATTTAGAATTTAGCTGAAAACTATGTATTTTCAGTCTTATAATTTTTATTCATAATTGTTTTGAAAATAAAGGTGGTTAATCTTTGCAGCTACTCAAGTTGTGCTTATATACAAAACTTTACACAGCCCTGCGTATATGTCATGTGGGTGTAAGGAATCTTTTCCCCTTTTTAATTCCCTGGTATCCTAGGAGAATGCTTAATTACTAATTTTTTTCAGGCAGGGGTTGCACTTGAGAAAAGTTTTCCAAAATGTGTTCACTTTGGGGTTAAAATATTTCATCAGGGGACATTTACAAGTGCAACACTAACTTTTGAAGAAAATTTCCAATTAATGAAAACATCAAATGCACTTTAGTGCCTGGGTGAGGCTGGCAGATTTTGGAAAAAATTTAGCTCAACTAAAGAAATCACAGCAGTGACTGTCAACACTTGTCAGATAACTTGATAATTAGAAACATGATCACCTTGGAAAACACTTGAGGACTTCTTACATCTTTGTGCTTTCCATAGGGATAGTTGTCAATTTGTAATGTGCCTCACAATTTGATGATTTTGTTCTTGACAAACTATGGAAACTCTTTCCTTCCAAGCAGTAACCATACATTCTAGTTTCTGGTCTACTTCAGTTCTCAAAGTGTCCAAAGGCTGATTGTTTAACTAGTGCAACTAAAAAGTTATCCTTTCCAGTTGCAGTTACACATTTTCTGGGGTCTCTCTACCACCCATGCCTAACCAAGATGCTACTCTGAACCAACTAGCTTTGAAGCTTGTTCACTGTTTATCTTAACCAAATGTCAAATCCACAAACTTGTAATTTACATTTTCAAGTGAATTGCTGAAAGCAGATCCATTTTATATTGCAAGATAAGTAGTCACTGTGGTGGCAGAAAATCAAAATTTTAAGCTGGAAATGATAAACTAATAATATAAACATGGTCAGGATCAGACAGTTGACTTCAATTTACTTCTGGGAACAAACCGACTAAACACCCTTGCAAGTTGACACTTCAGTTACACTAAGAGAGACTCTTCCGAAAGCTCCTTAGGACTATGTAGTTACCTAACAATCACAAATTTAATGAATGGCTGTCACATTGATTTTTCTTGAAGATCATCAGCAAAACTATTTTACCCTCTAAGAAGACTAATGATGAGAAGAGAAAATTACTGGGCCAAGGAGGAGGGGAGGGAGGGTAAATATGGTAGGCAAAGTACTTGCATATCATGATTAGTCATTCACCTCTTGTTACAAAAAAAATATCTATAAACTAGCACACTCTTTCTTGTGAAACACAATGTTGTTTTAAAAAACAGTTACTTCGCATGCCAGTCCTTCAAGTTATAGTATGTTGCCCAGTCATCAGCCAAAAATTACTGCCTTTTTCATTTATGTGTATTTGTCCCAAACCCTCGCCCTTTGCAATGAAAACCCTTTAGATAGTACTGTTGAAATAAAAAATAAAGAATCATGCAAAAAGCATTGGCTCACTGATTTTCTCCAAACAACAAAAACACAAAGTGTATGCATAATGAAGGTGAAAGTCTGAATCACTGTAGTTTGCTGAAAACTAGGAATCTTAAATTCAAATTTTTGCAAAAATTAGACATTATATTCAGGATATGCCATGCTTTGAATATTTTTAACCAAGGAAACTAAATGAACCATCTGTTGGTGAAAATTTAGAAGTTTTAATGTACAGATCAGAAGTAAAAGTGACTGCGATCTGAGCTGACTGGAAACGGCAACAGACTGTATCACTAGTGTGAGTCTTGTGTCCACCACAACAACTAGTTACTTGAATTTGGTCTTGCAGCTAAAATGTACAGAGCCTGCTCTCTTAAATACTCATCCCAGGAAACCAGTCTGTGAATACAAATAAAAAAATTAATATAATGCAATATATTGCCAACAATTATGAAATGGGGGCAATCCAAATGGTAAACAACTGATTTATGGGTTAATTCCCTAACAATCCACTAACTCTAGTTGCAATTTAATTTTTCCAACTTATGGAATCCATGGATTTGTCATCTGTGTTTAACAAACATTTCTATTGTTCTATCAATAAAGTAAAAATTGATATATTAAGGTTCACAAGGTAACCAGGTGGACAATCAGATAGGGTGTGATGCTACTCTGGTTTAAAGATTTAATGAATGTAACGGAGAAGTTACAATTGATAGATCCATGAATTGTAATGTAGGTCTATGAATTGTAACTTCTCTGTTACTTTTGTTAAATCTTTAAACCATGTCTGAAAGTAAAAATTTGTACAAAACATTTGACACAAGCTTTCCATGCACAAAAAGGCAACCTTTAGGGGTACTTCCTTTCCACTGGTTCAAGCAGAAATTACTGAGCCAATTATTGCAAAGAATACATTTCCAAATTTTTTCAATATTATTTGGGTCTTCTCAGGTGCATTTTAGTAAATATTGATAAGTGGCCGCTCTAAATAACACTGTTAAAGGGAGGAATCAGGACACTCAGAATATGAAATATTATCACATCCACTAATGCTATCCAATTTCAGCATTGTTGTGAAATTTTAAAAGTTTCCATCCAAAAAAGCTGACAACACCACTTGCCCTCATCTGTAATGAAAAAGGAGTTAACAGAATATTCAGTACCTGTTATTATCAGTATCAGCATCCATGAATATTCTTGAGTGACGATCAATGTGCCCAGAAACATCCTTTGGATCAAGAGGTCTTCCAAATGAACTGCTTCCATCTCTGCTTAGCAACAAACATACCTTACAAGTACATCTGCTCATTAACAGTTTTTTTTTTTTTCAGGAACAAAGCTTCCAGAAAGGATTAAAAACTAAGGCACAAATTAACCTAACTAGCCACAAGGAATTTACTCAATGCAGAACCTAGGTGCAACATAGCATTGCCAACAGGTTTCAAATAATTAATCTTCTTTTAAATAAGTAACTGTCTTACCCTGTTCCTGTACTGCTGTGGTCACGTAGCCTCAAGTTGCCAAACCATCTGGTAAACCCAACAGCAACCTCATGGGAATTGATGTAGCCATCTTCATCCTTATCAAATGCATGAAAAATATCTCTGGCCTTTTGTATCTCAAGAGGTGATAACATCCTTACTAACTGAAACTGAAAACATGATCACAAAATCTCATCACACCTGAAACAATATCATATGATGAACAAACAGTAAATGATGACAAGGAAGACATAATTCTTCCATCAAACATAGAAACTTAATTAATCTAAGTATCATAACTGACACAAATTGTTGTCTTGTAACTCCATCACAAGCTTTAATGTCAAATTCCAAGAACTGTGTGGTCAGAGGACAATTTGTAACATGGCTACCAATTGAAATGTTTTCCAGTCTTCTCACCTTACTCCTGTTTGTTGCAATACTTTTAAGAGCCTGATGGTTAAGGAATTCCCACCAGTCAATAGTACCAGTATGATCCTTGTCTATTTGTTTAAACTTAAACAAAAAATTGACTGATTAGTTTAGGACTATGATAATTAAACTTTTTTGTTATGCAAACTCTGACTACATGACCCACATGGAAAGACAACTAGTACTCTGTAAATTTTTAGAATATAAGAACATTTGGTGGGCAAAAGTTTATTTCCTTTACTTTACATAAACCTTTCATCCAGTCCTGCTTGTAAAAAAAGAGGGCAGTATTTTTCATTTTATGATTCAAACACAATGACAAAATTAGTTTTGAAGAATATCTTGTGACACCCTTCATTAATTCTTGCAGTTCTGATAAGAATCATGTTGATATTAGATTGATGCAAGGATAAAAGTTTTTCATGCAATAATTATCATCATGATTGAGACAAAAAAAAAGGTCTTTGCTCAAGATAATTTTTGTTGCATTTCTGCTGCTTCCTTTACCTCATTGTGTGTCTCCTCTTCCATGTAGCTTGGCATTTTTTCATTGTGAATGTCTTTGTACTGGGCTGTATGGTATCGAACATACTCATCCTCATTTATTTGTGTATCTGAAAATAATTCATTAGATTATTGGTCAGCTGGAAGCTCAATTTACATTATATTAATCATAAAATATGATATATCCTGAGAAGCCTGAAAAGCAGAACTGGCAACTTAAAATTGTAATTGGCTTTGTATCTCAATCCTGGTGTTACAGTAGTGAGTAAAACTACAAACAATAAAATTTGTGCTTGATTGGCATTTCAGTCCTTCCTATTAATTGATTGTATCCATGGTAACAACACCTCAGGTACATGATTTTGTAGTGAGCATAAAAAATTTCTTTGGAGTATCTTCTGGCATTTACATAAAAAATTATCCAACCTGAAGACCGAAAAATCACTGCAAATGGGTACCTGAGTACATATTTTCATAAATAAGGCAATAATAATTGGTCAGATCATTACCTAGCTTGGTAATCATTTCCCATTACATGAATTATTGTCATGTAATAGTATGTAATGCAAAACTTATTAACTGTCTGTAATAGCAGAGCTCATACAAAGTTTTGTTTACATGCAAATTGATTTTCAGACTTCTCACCAAAGTTGTTTTTTTTCCATTACCCAAACTTGATAACTGGTATGTAACATTGTGTCAGCAAAAGCAAGCAACAATACACAATGTACAGAATACAAGAAGCTAATAGAATTCATAATGGCTGGAATAAAAAACCCAGTGAGACTTTTTCCATTTTCCCAGGTTCTACATTGTATTTCATGTTCGAAATAAATTTTGTCAGTCAGAGATGCTGAGTTTGTTAACTCCACACATAACAATAAAATGATGAACCTTGCAAAAATTCTCATGATCACCATGAAATTAGGTTTTTGAAATTACACATCATTGTATTTACCTTGATTGACATCTAACCTATCAAAATTCTCTATCAATTGTTGCATTTCTTCATCAGTTAATAGAGATGTTAAACTTTCCTGGTGAAAAGAAAAATTATTTTAGTTACAAATATATAATGTCATGATGACTGTAGGTTCACATTGAGGTAATGTTAGTATTAATTATCTGCAATATGATAGGCATTAGCCTGTTCCATTATAAAAGAAAAGATGCCAAATTGTACTAAACCTCTCAACTCCAAATAACTAATTGACTCAAGTCACCAATAACCTAATTGAAATTTTGAGACACAACCACAAAGTACTTCTGGCTAGTAGGGAGACAATATCTTCTTGTACTTGGAGAAGTTATTATGGGATGAAGTCCATTATGAGACTGTTTTTTCTCCCTATTCTGCCAATATTGGTGTCTCAAAATAAAAATCAACTTTGAATAGCAATCCATCCATTTTGAAGTAATAAAACAGTAAACAAATTAGCTAGTACCTGATCAAAATGTAAATCCCTTATTTCTGCCAAACATATCCAGGGCAACAGAAGTTTAATAAAGCACAAAGTTTGTTCATGAATATTTGAAAGTCTTATCGCATTGAATGACAAAAGTGAGCTTATCTGGCAGCAAAAGATCCATCAAAATTTCTTCATAGAGAGCTTGAGGTCCTAAGACCAACTACATGTAAATCATGTAGCATCCAACTAGGATGTTTCCAGTTTTCTGTTTAAAGAGTTACCTCAGGGTGTCAAGGTAGCAGATGTACAAATTTGGTCCTTCAATGAATAAAAGCAAAGTTCATCAAGTTTCCTTGAATGATGTATGCCTTTATTTCAGTGGTAGGAAATCAGGCTCGATCTTTTTCTGAGGGGATATGTTGCATGAAAACTGTGCCAGAACTGAGTCATTTGCCTTCCTAATTTTTGTTTGACTAGGTAACAGAAGGTAAGAGAAAGACTGTCAAGGTTTAACATAACACCTTGCAAGATCTACAATGATATCTTGAAAATTGTGTTGTTTGCAATAATTAAGAGGAAAACACTCAGAAGTACAACAGAAGGTATTTAAAATTTTAATTTCCATCTTTATCTGTTTTGCTTTTTCATTGTTATTTCTGGCTGTCAGGAGTTTCTTAAGTCTTCTGATAACTTGCTACAGTTGATTAGGACACTTGTTCCAGTTTCCAATTATAGTGAAAATAATTCAATTATATTTTCCATTGTCTATGCTATGATTGTAAAGAAATCACATAAAATTGAACAAAATTTACCATGAAAGCCCTATTTTGGAGTTTGAGGGATCCATTTCAGTGACCTATCATCAACTTTAATTTTCATCAAAATACAGGTCAAAAATGTGAGACAACAATAGTGCAAAAGATTGTCATCTCTCCTGTTGGAAAAACTATTGGAGAATCCTGATACTAAATGTCTTGGTGAAGACAACTATGAATATACTGATTAAAATTTAAGTGTTCATGTAAAAATGTGAGAACAACCCACAGTAAAGAATTGACTAGTGAGGAGCATCACAAATAATAATCAGAGCCATCCTGTAAGTTTTGTCTTTATGTTAGCTGGGTTCATATCTACTTATTACTTTGTACACAGTCATTGCAAAATATAAATGGAGGCTCACACATTCATGGCAACTCCATCCTTTGTCTGTGTTTGCTTTCCTGAAGGCTTCTAATTCTGTCTTCCCATACAGTTTACCTTTCTTCTTTAAGCAGAGCTCATGAAATACTTTACAACAGACATGGCAAGGATGGACTTCAACACCAGTATAAACACCACATAGGGAGCAGAGTTCTTCATTCTCCACCTAGTGTAATTGAAAATACAAGAGGCATTTTTAATTGCATTGGAAAATCAATTGTACTGAGCTTATGAAATGAATGTTGTAAAATCAGGAAATACATTGTCACTTAATTTAAAACTAAGCTGTGATTTAAGTTCACCTTTGGTTCAAATTTAATTTCCTTTGTTTAACTCTTATCAGTATATTAGAGGTATAGTATCGATATCATTCTTTTAAAAATAAGAATTATTGTAACAAAAAGGAAAGGATTCAAATTAAAATTTACTTTACATTCACATCAGTCTATGGATTATAAAATTCAAGGAAGTCAATTTTACCTTAAGAAACTGAACTTGATAATCCTCTGGACAATGTTTACAAACAGCCTTTAAACTATACCTGGTGATGAATTACACCCTGGAGATAGAAATGCACCATGACAAAATTTCCTATTTTTGTAACAAGTCCACTTGCTAAGAAAAGCCAGTTAAAAAGTAGTTAGTAAAACTATCACTGTCCTAACACTATGTGATGGTCAACAAGAAACCATAGTCGTTGTTCAGTTACACACCTGATTTTTGTAATTGACAACACATTCATGAAATCATAATACTTTGTCTTTCCTTTATGCACTTCTTCCCTTTCAAGATCAGAATTAATTCCAATAAGTTTATGACTCAGCTAAGAGTAAATATTCTTCATGTGTACTTTTATTTAATAATGAAAAATAGATAAGGTATGTTTCAGTCCTTACCAATCATTTATATTGTATTTCAAAGTAGGATTGGTGGATATGAAATAGTTAAGTATGTTCCTTCTGGTTGAAATTTCATTGTTTACATTAAAAACAAGGCAAAGTATTATCTGGGGGGTTGCATGTTTAGGTATATAATTAGATGAACTGACAAAATGAAGAGGATGTTGATGGTACTACCATTTAAAAACAAAATAAAAAGAGCAGATCAGTGAGTGTGATCAGACAGATAAGAGTTAAGTTATGACAACAACTATTGTGTAAGACAATGAGGCTGACCCTCTGACAAAGGCTTAATGCTTAAAAAGTCAGCTTTGGACGCTCTTTACAGAGGTCAATTCATATTAGCAATACAGTTGATAAAATCAAATTATCTTGATCTACTGACAGCTTGGGAGAGGTCAACCTTTGGAACTCTCAGTGTAAACAGCTTCTAGCTTGATTGGTTTAATGTAAGTCACCATCATCGACAACAATCCTTTTCAAGAACTACCCTCACCCAGACAATCACTCTGTTCACAAGGCAAGATAAAAAAAAGAACAACTTTTTCATAGCCCCTAGCTGTTGAGGCAATTTAGGCTATATGTTGTTCAAAGCTGGGTTGAGATAACCCAGGGTTAGTATGAAATTACATTTCAGATCTGAAAGCTCTAAAAGAAAACTTACTATGAATATTTTTTGTCTGCAATTTGATAACTAGATGCTCTTAAAAGAATGGAAAAATTATCCCAAAAAGGCTTTTGAACAAAGGAATAAAGAAACCCAGATTACAATTTAACCTTGAGTTAGAGCTACATAATTATATAATTAGCCTTCTAACAACCAGGCCTTGTTGAGTGAGAGTTTCACCAATTTTTTTTTTTTATCACTTATGTTGGAAATTAAGATTTTACAAAATCTCTGGTTAGCACCTTGGAGCTTAACATTTTTTCTTATCCTGTGTTGCCCAGTAGGTTTATTGGTGGTCACTCTCTCCTAGTAAATGTTGAAAATCTTTGGTGAAATAATGTATCTACTGTAAAAAAATTGCTTCTCTCATGCAGGACACATTTTCAACAAATAACTGTCAAATCACTGATGGACTTCACAGCCAATTTTTTTTTTATAAGGAATTCTCCTTACGATTTGCCGATAAAATCCGTACTCAGCAACAGACACATAATGTAGAGGGATCCCGCCCCTGCCCCCTCCCCCTCCTTTCTCTTGCAATCTGGCTGCTACATACCCTGTGTTTCCAGGCGCCAAAGTATGGAATACCGATAACAGCCTTGTTACTTTTGTCCCAGTATCCTGTAGTTCCACTGCTGTAAGCAAGATGGTCTGCCGCGTCTAACTCAGGGAGACCATATGTAATAGAAGACTTATCGTTATTCAAGTTCGCTGTGTGCTCCCTGTCGAAATCTAGATGTTCATCAGTCGCCTTATGATTTTTCGTTTCTTGCAAAATCTGACTCGTTTGACCTGCCTGTGCTTGGTCGGTGGTGGGGCTGTCTTTTTCTGTAGACTCTTTAGACTCTTTAGACGCTAACTTTAAAGCTGTCATGACAGCTGCAGTTTGCTGAACTTTCTTAGTTCGATTTCGACTCTCTTTGGATACAATAATCCCCATTTTAAAAATTTCTTATTAACAAAGAGTAGGATCAATTAAGCCCCTCCATTCAAGTGAAGGAAAATTCTCCCGAGTTTAAAGGTTAAGGGACTAACAAAAGTTTTCTTCACTTTGTTTGTTTAATATCTGCACCTTGGTAAAGTTGGAATCTTGTTCCAGTTTCCCTCTGACCGGATCCTGACCGATGGGGACAGGGCCTTTCCATGGTTATATCCCATAATAATCCTGCAAGTCGAAGGAAAGCGAGGACTCCTTAATCATACGTGGAGTGCATTTCTTTCTGTCTTGAGGCTTTTTAATCGAATTATTTTGTCTCTTTTGCGGAAGAAAACTAGAAGGGAAAGTTTGAATTGTTTATATGGCCGAAGAAGGAGAACTTTCATCTCCAGACGAGTTGGAAACCAGTAAGTTGTTTATTTTCTAAGTCAATGGGTGTACATGTAAAGAAAAATGTATACCATGCACACGATATCATATCCTGTTTTCTTGGCCTGGATTTCATGCATTTATTTCCTTTTCACAGACTATTTTACCTATGTTAGTATATTGTTAAAAAAGGTGTTTTAAGTTATGGTTTCTGCCTGGATTGTTGTGGCTTGTCATACAGCGATCGCCATGTGGAATGACTGGCGTCTGAGGTTATTACTAGACAGAATTCGCGCTGAGACTAGTGCCAGTGAGTCTTTCCTATTTCGGTTGTTAGTCTCAAAAGAACTTAACTTTTAAAAAGAAGAGGAGAGTGTTCTCATTGAAATAGAAGGTGTAGCACTTTGTTAATTAACTCCTTGATTTAAAACATGATTAATGATTCTTAACTGACGAGAACTGACTAAATTTAATTTTTCGGCTTTTCTTTTCGTTTTCTTTTTTTCTACTCTAGGAATTGGTTTTTTATTTGTATGTTTATGTAGGCTTTCAAAGGAAGACAAAATTTTTCAATAAAGCATGTTTTCTAACAAAGCGTCATGATTTGCAAAATTGCTCTCTTTTAAGGATGAATAAGAATTCTGGTTGATAAAGTATGGGTTTATCTTTTAACTCACAATTTTCTTATTTGATGTATTTTTGATTTTTAAAGTTATAGACCTGTATCAAAGTTGCTGGGTTGCTCCCACCCCTTCATGTCAGTCCTGTAAGGTTTTCCATTATTTCTTGATCAGTGAAAGATAGATCCATGTCAAGCCAGGGCCTAGACAAACATTTTTAGCAGATAGATGTAGTTCTTTACATCACACTCAAGGCTAGAGTTAGGGCAGAGAATAATCTAGCTGAACAATTTTTTGGACCAGAGACATTGAATTTATTCACAATAGCCTGATTCTGGTTGGTTCATTGATCCTTTTGGAATGTTTGAGGTTGGGGACTAACTTTATGTTGCAAAGGAAGGAACCACAAACCACCCATGCTGTTGGTATTGCATAGGTGGTCATGGGTGTTCTATTAAGTTTCAGTTTGTTACCATTGTAATAACAATGCATTTATATAATCTGCAATTTGAATAAAGGTTTGGATGGAGTGGAGCTTAATGTTCTGGATGATATACTTGGGGAACCAGCAAATGACGAGTTTGCTGCTGAACTGGACACTCCAGCAAAGACAAGTGGTAAGACAAGATTTTCCACTGTCCTTATATTACTTGTCCCTCTCCTGAACTTTCAGTTTCAGAGGATGTAAATAGTTTCATTCAAGTTTTTTTGAGCTTTGATATTTCTTGGACCAGTTTAAGTCTTGTGTTTCTTTGTCCTTTAAATTAATTATTACGAGATTCAAACTAGAACCGTAATATATATTTAGAAAGCAGTAATTGCCCAAAGGCTATTTAGAGCAATTTTTCAGTTGATTGTCAAAAGTAATCCTGATAGCTTTGATTTTGATTAAATCCATTATATGATTTCTGAAGAAAACTTGTGCCTTTTTTGTTTTCTTTGTTCAGTACCAAGCAGAAAGCGAAGAGCCAACACTGATGACAAGGCTGATACATCTAAAAAGAGACACTTGGACAGTCCAAAGATTCAAACCAAAGAAAACAACAGTTCCTCTCCTCAAACCATGAAAATCTCAAGCCAGACTCCAACTAAAAACAGCAAGGCTTCTAAAACCATTGCATCTGGGTTAGAATCTCCCAAGACAGGTGAGAGTGACAAGGACAAGCTTCCAGTGAAAGAAAAGGAAGAAAAACAACGTCCAAGAAAAGATGCTCCAAAGGAAATTAAAGTAAAACTGAAAGAGAAGGACAAAGCTGCAGGTCAGCTTGAAAATGAAAATCCAAGCAAAGAAAAGGGAAAGGAAAAAGACACAACAAAGAACAAACAGAAGGATATGAAGGGTTCCAAAACTGAGGGTGATAGTAAAACTGGAGACAAAGAGACTAAGAAAAAAGAAGAACAGAATGCAGCAACTACCGAAACTAAAGGAGTTGCCGAAAAAGAGACAGAAATGAAAAAAAATGATAATTTATCAAAGAGGGTAATGAGTTCAAAAGCCAAAGGTGCTTCAAAGGTTGTGAAGAGGGAGGGTCCAAAAAAGGAAGTAGTGAAAAAAGAGGCAAAGAAGGAAAATGTTAAGAAAGCAGCTGAGAGCAATAAAGGACAGGGTAAGGTGTCTAAAGAGAAAGTAAAAGCTGTATCAGAAGAGAAGAAGGCCAGCACAGCAAGTCCAGCCAAGAAAGTAGCAAAGCAGAGTGTCCACAGCACTCCCTCTGAAACTAAAAGCCGAAAAGTTCGGGAACCATCAAATAATCTTAGTGAAAAGAGCAGCCAGAGGCAAATTAATGATGGAGTGAAAGGAAACAGAAGAGGCAGTGTTGAAGTCAAGAGCAAATCAACACAGAAGAAGTCTACTACACAAATCAAGGAGAAGAAGAGTAAAGTCAATAGAGGTGTCAAGTATTCAGAGAAAATACCAACAATCCAAACAGAAGAAGAAGAACTTGGAAACAAAGTTCAGGTTTGCAACATTATGTTTAAACAAGTCTTCAATTCATGTGGATTAAGTAGATTTTTAAATTTTTAGACATCAAGTCTGGCAAAAGCCAGAAGACTATTAATTGAAGAAAATGGATGGCAGCAGACACATGTTTTATCCATTACAGCAGTAATTCATGAAGCCTCTCTTGATCTTTTTAAAGCTGTTTGTTCTCTTCAAAACAAAGGAAATCATGATCCCTATTAGCAAGCACCATCCGCCATGCTGATGAAAGTAGGATAAGCTTTGCCAGGCTTGGTCACTCACTCCCCTTACTTTTGCTCTCAATGTTGATGTTTATTGTCACTACAGAAAGATAGCATTTTTAGCTCTCTGTGATAGTCACTTGATATTCCCTGTTTATAGTGTAAGAACTGGGATTAAATGCAGAGTTGTTGCTGGTGTTGAGATAGGTTTTGGTTACTAAGGCACAAAATGCCCTTTGTGTGGATTTTTTTGGGGGAAAAAGACAGGTTTTGAAAGTATTGCACTATTAACCATTTTCCCATGAACCAAAAAAAAAGGAATGAAATGTATGGTTTGTTGCAAAAAGTAATCCACAAGTATGAACAGATTTGCAATTAATGTTTTGAAAATCCTCTAATGTACTTATTTTGGGATGAGTTACATATATTTTCCTGGCTGTTTTTAAGGGATAATTTTAATTGCTGTTTGGAATGGCCACAATATTTCACCTTGCTCACACCTGAGGTTGTGATGTCAAAGCCAGTATCAGTCATTAAACATGTAAAGATCAGACCTTGTTATTTTAGGATCCAGATAGCATTGATGAACCCATGAGGGGAAATAAGGGAGAGGCAGAGGAGAGTGAAATAACTGAGTTTGGACCTGATGATGATCCAGAGGCAACACAAGGTATGAAACTCCACAAAGCCTGCATTTGTCACTCGCACTCTTATCAGACATTACGCACTATATGTAGCTGGATGTGACGGCTCAGCTCCATGTGTGTTTGTTTTTGCCTTTCTGGGTCACTGTCAATACCAAGGGAAATAGTTTCAAAATCAAACCAGTTATTTACATTCGGTTCTTCTTGTAGAACTGAACCATTGGAGTTTTCAAACGTGGGTGCCAATGATTCTTCAAAATTAGGAATGTCCATGAACACTTCCTGGATCACTTCTAGTATTTTTAATGCATTTGTCATTGAAAATACAGGGTAGCCATTAAGTATATCAGCCAAAGTGAAAATCTTCTCACAGTCCCTTACCACATCCTTTATTAAATGCCTTGAGCAGCCATGACAAGAGCTTTCATCCAATGCTAGTTCTTTGCTTCTCATCTCATCTAATACCTCGATCAGTGCTTCTTTTAATGCCTTTCTATCCTGGCATGAGACCTGTCTGCATTTAGCTTTAGTGTCCTCCACTGCTGACTCTTTTGCCTCCTTGAATGGGACATGGGTTGCAAACACGATCTGAAAATCTTGAGCTATCTTGAATCAAGGAAAATCCAACTTGACAAACAACTTTGCTCAAAACAACTCCAAAGCACTCCTTCCATTTCCTACAGTTGTCACTCGCACTCTAATGGGACATTATGCACTATATGTAGCTGGATATGACGGCTCAGCTCCACGTGTTTGTTTTTGCTGGAAGTCATTGTCCAAGACTTTTAAATAAACTCATTTTTATTGGTTACCTTCTTATTTCTGGAAATGCAGTGAAGCGCAACTAATCAGGGGGCGTAGGGCATTTTAACAGCCTCTTCGGGCAGGTGTCTTTTCTCCCCTCTCCCACCCCCTACCCCCATCGTCCACTCTAACTGCAAATAAAAAATGGCCGGTCGGAAAAATGCTCGCAAGCTTTTAGCGTTAGCTTGCACTAACAAGACGTCTACATAGCAGGCTACACTAAGGTTGAAATTGAGAGAGGCCTTTTTTGCTATATTGCTTGTTGACAGCAGTCATAGGTACAGATTCAGTAAATTCAGAGTCATTGGTGGAAAGCAAAGTGGCTCTAGCTGAAGATACAGATGCAGTTAGTAAATATGAGGCGAGTGAAGATATGGAAGTTATTGATGACTTGGAGGAGGCCAGTGAAGGTGCAGGTGGAAGTGATGACAGTGGGGAAGAAGATTTTAGTGAAGGAGAGGGAGGTTCAGTGTCACCTTCCTCTTCAGGTTCTTCAAAATCAGAATCAGGTTGTTATTGTTGTTTGATTTTTATTAAGTGTCAATTTAATATTTAACACAATTGAGCAGTTTGTTGCTTCACTGCAATATACAAGACTGCACTTAGGTAATGATAGAAAGCATACTTGAGGTATGTGGTAGGTGGAGTATGGCTTGTACATGTACTGTCACAGTCCTTTACTAACCTTTTATTTGTCTCTTTCTCTCTAAATATCCATTTTTTAGTGTGAGATCTTGTTTGGAAAAAGAGGTTATTTGCTATTAATATAATTACAATTGGTAAATCAGTCACAAAGCTTGATTACAAGAAAATGTTAAGTAGTCTTAAATCCATTCATAAATTCTCAATCCATCAAAGAAATTTTTTGTGGGGTATATTTATACAATTTATATTGCAAAAAAGATGTCAAAAGTAAAGAAACGATCCTCACAGTGAGCTGAAATGAAATAAATTGCTGAAAAGAATTGTTGGGATGATTTACCTCATTTTAGTGTGCCCTTAAACGAAGGTGCAATCATCACCACTTCTAATCGTGATGATCGCATTAGTTTTTGCCATAAACAAGATTGGTTCAGTGCCAGTGAAATGTAGGTGGGTTATTATTTTATTTTTATTTTCTTCTACCCTATGGGGTAAGGTCTGGTAAAAGCTGCAGCATAGGAATTTTAAACATATATTTACAGTAAAAAAAATTTTATTCCATTGTGATCATGTATCATTATGGTTACAAACTCTAATTATTGGAGTTTTCAGTGGAAAAATTCTTCAACTATGTTAACAATGGGCATTTTAGGAGCTTTTGGAACTTTTTGCTTTTTTCTTTTGTACATGGTAATTTTTTAGGAGGTTGACACTGGTAATTACCCAAGTAATGCATCACTATTACAAATAGTCAAATAGTTTTAATGAAGTCTTGTATTTGTTAGAAAATCCAAGTAATGAAGAACAAAATGAACAAGAAGGAAAGAAAGTAAAAAGAAGGAAAAGAAGAGCATCATCTCCTGTCGAAGGAACTAGATCAAGTGGTGAAAGTGATAACTCCTTAGCTGATAGTCAGCTTCACATCAAGAGTAAAGTGGCAAAGGCATCATCATCGAAATCAAAGAAAACATCCAATTTGGATGAGTTCTTTGAAGAAGCTCGATACTTTGTGATGAAAAGTAACAATCACGAGAATGTAGCTTTGTCTAAAGCTAAGGTAAGTCTACCTTAAGGCTGGTTTTCACCAAGACTCAATTGAAGATAGATTTTTATTGTTGGATTTAAAATTAGTTAGACTTGAAATAGGCATTTTAAACTTAGATGATTCCAAAGAACTTATATGTTTCTAGGGAAAAGACTACCTTAGAAATAGGGGGGAAAATGGCACAAAAACAATGCTGTGTGTATTACAACCAGGTTTACTTTGGAAAAGTTCTGCACACTTCGTGCATTTTCTATGTACAAAACATGAGGCTAAAGACATTGCTGATCCTAGCAGTATGTTTGATGCGTGTCTGATATGAACTTCATAATGGGTTTCTCTCAGTGATAGAGAATTTAGTCTTTTTCCTAGACTTGTGACAAGACAAAAAACATCTTTATCTTATAAGATGCTTGATTTCAACAATTGTAACACATTATTCTTATCAGGGTGTGTGGTCAACTCCAAAGGCTAATGAGAAGAAACTAAATGCTCATTTTAAGGTGAGGTCTGTTTCTTCATGAAGCGTTATCTTGAAAGCATATGTCCTAAAGTGATGAATCATGAATCTTGACTTTCCGGAGGAAAAAAGCTTTCCTCTTACTGGTGATTGAAGTGTGGATCCACAGCAAGTTACAGCAATGCTTACATTATAATTCTGCCATTCTTGTAGAAAATTCTGGAAAATATTAGGCCTATGAAATTTAGTGTTTCCATTGGTTTGGTTGACCCTATATGTTGATTGGCTATTTCCATCTCAGAACTCTGATGTTTTGCAGCTCTATTTTTGGATGTATTTTCCTTATTTCTTTAAGGAGCCTTTCTTTTGGTTATGATATTTCTATTCTTCTCAACTTAAAAATAGAACAATCAGCAGCTTACCAGTGTCTGAGTTGGTAACTGTTTAGAAAGAAATGTTAGTGTGTAGTGTTTAGTATGAAAACAAAATCAATTATGATTGTTACCTTCAAATTGTGGTCTTAAATTAGCTAACAGAAACAGAAGGGTACTGTTGTTCAGTTTTACTTTCTATTGAATGTATAGAAAGATAAAGGAGAAGTTTTAAAGGTTATGAAGAACCTTACAAGTCTTGGAATTGTGGAGCAACAGTGAACTCAGTTCTGGATATCTTTTAGGGCACCAATGAGATAAATCTATGAACTTGTTAATGACAAGATTTTACAGCCACAAATTGTAACCAGCCCTTTCTGTCTATGTGGACAGTTAAGTCTTAGTAGCCCTTAGGTACTTGGGTTTGGGTTTGTTCGTTATAAATGCTTTGGCTATTATGAAACACGTATCAGCCTTCCAGTGGTCATTTCAGATAAATTTGTCACAAAATGCAACAAGGAGATCCTGTCCTTGAACACACACAACTACATTTAAACTCTGAATGAGTATTACATTGGAACCCCTCTAAACTGAACCCTCATTAAACCGGAATCCTCTCTTTACCAGACCTTTTTATTGGCCCCAAAATCTGTCATATATTTTCTATATTTTTAACCTCAGTAAACCGGAACCCCTCGCTTCCGGAAACTGGACACTTCTTTCAGTCCATAATCACTCAATTTCAAAAGAAATTGACCCAGTTAAACTGGATGTGAAAGTTTTAAGCTTGCTGCCAAAATCAAATCACACCTTTGTAAACATGATTAAAATTAAAATTGTAATCATGCAGCTGTGCAATCACAATCAGAAGTGAGAAATGCCCATCGGCTAATTACTCATTGTTCTATTGGTACTGAAGCAAAAAATCTAAAAATTTAACTGAAAGAAAAATAGTTGAACAATGTTGTAATCAGATGCAGTTAACAATGGATTCCTTTTTCCAAAAGCATCTTGGACACCCCTCTAAACCGGACATTACCCTCGGTCACAGGGGTGTCCAGTTTAGAGGGGTTCCACTGTACCAGTATACAAAACCATCCTTGCTTTTCTTGCTAATTTTTGTTCCAAAGATAATTATTTGGTGGTTAGCTATTCTATCAGCAGTATATACACTAATCAGTTGGCTAAATTTCTCTCTCCTTTGAACAACTTGGCCCAGCACCTTAATTCCTCTGCCTTTGTTTCTCCAAGTTCGGAGAGAGTAGTGATTATAAGTACATAAAGTACTTAGATTTCTGAGTTATAAAGTTTTTTAAGGCAATTATATTTTATTGATAATGTGTAGTTTTACTCAGATATTTTATGGTGAACCTTTTCAAGATGTATGCAACTTTCCTTTTCTTTTCTACATCATGAAGAATCTAGTATGTATTGTATTTTATTGTATTTGTAAAAAAAACATTGACATGAAGCAAGAAAGGAGGAGCTTCTTTTATGACTACTCATCAGCCGTTTTTGTACTTGATTTTCTTTCAGAGGTATAAAAATGTAATTTTAATATTTTCTGTAAAAGAGAGTGGAAAGTTCCAGGGGTTTGCCAGACTGGCATCAGAAGCCAAACATGGAGGCCAGCCAATGCCTTGGGTGTTGCCACCTGGAATGAATGCCAAAGCACTAGGAGGAGTATTTAAATTGGAGTGGCTCAATAGGTAATGATTCATCAAAAAAATTAACTCCATTTTACTCCATTATAATAATAGTAAGACACACATGATAGTTTGAACTGCATTTCTTCTCTAAATGCAACACCATTTACATCCATAATGTCATTTAAGTATTGAAAGTCCTACTCTGATGAAATTACTGGCTGAATATGACGAAATTTCCAGCAGAGGCCCTTTTCAGACTAGGTGCCTGTTCTGCAGCTTTGAGCCCAAGTATTAACCCTTTACACCCTAACATTAGCACACATATTCTCCATACTGTTCTCTGTACATTTCCTTGGGGGCTGTAAGGAAGAATTTGTTCAAAAACCAAGAGCTTATTTATTTGAATGTTATTTTTATGATTTGTGCTCCAATGCTCTACCACTGAGCCACAAAGACTCTTTGGTGAGTGGGGTCTATTACAAAGTTCTTATGACTAACCATCTCTACTTTTCTGTCAAAAACATTATGCTATGAACATTGCTGATCCTAGCAGTATGCAGGACGTGTGTCATTAGAACTTTGTAATAGACCCCTCTCACTGAAGAGTCTTTGTGGCTCAGTGGTAGAGCATCGGAGTGCAAATGCGAAGGTCTGAGGTTCAATTCCTCATGGGGACTCAGAATTTTTCTTTGTCCCACGCTTGTGACAAGGCAAAAAAACATCTTTCTTAATTCTTCACCGAGCTTAAAACTTACCATCTCTACTTTTTTGTCAAAGACTTTATCTTCTATTGCAAAAAGTAGGTTAGCTGACAAAAGCATGCCTGAAAATGGTGAGCAAATTCGTCCCTTGGTGGTAGCGCCTGTGTTGAGACCATGCTCAGACAAGTACCCTGCTCCTGAAAAACAAGCAGGGACACCCATTCCCCACACTGCCATAGATGTTTTAATAGCTTAAAAAGTAGTTTGCACAAGAAGAGAAATGCCATTGATTATTTTCAGTTATCTGAAATGTTTGATTTTTTTGCATCAAGGCTTTACCACTTAATTATGTTTGACGATTTGGTAACCATAGCAACACACAAAACTCCAGATTTCACCAATCTGGAGCTGTTTTAGTCATACATGTATTTCAATCTAATATTTGCCTATTTAACTCCTGTGCGATTTGGCAAGCAGATAACAATAGTTCAGCACTTTGTTCTTGTATAAGTGTCATGTAGAGTCATGCAGTTTGCATTCACATAACTATGTAGAAGCAAATATTTTCTTTGTGTGTCACTTGTACAACAATTAGTGGACCAAGTTTCATGGATTGCTTCAAATTTCTTGTTTATTTGTGTCTGTTTACTGCATCTTACAAAGGGTGAAGTAATTTAGGTCATCAGCATACTCATTTGCTTATTTTATTAATTTTTCATCCCAAACCTTTCTACAATAAACTTTGAAAATGTCTTTTGTGTAAATCTCTAAATTTCTATGACTTAACTGGCTGATCATAGTAGGACCTTGAATACAAATTAAAATGTAAAAGATTACATGTATTTTTCACAGAATGTTTTTTGTCTTTGCTATAATAATTCTTCTCATAGTTTGATTTTATGATTAACACAGTGGATTTTTTGTTTGTAGGAGGGAGCTTTGGTTCAGTAAGTGCCTGCATTTAAGAAATCCTTGGAACGACAACAAAGAGGTGAAAATTTGCCGTGATGGACAGGTAACTGGCCTCTTAAATACTCATAAGGAGTGAGATGAATTTTTATGCATTGAGATGTTTGTCATGCTTGTAATGCTTTTGTTTTCCACCACCCCACCTTGTTCACTAAATGGGAAATGAATTTTACTTGATTCAAAATAAAACAAAAGAAAGTTACTGTGAATGACAAGCAGATGGTAAGATAATTGCAGTGTTGCAGCTGTCAGATTTATTTATTTATTTAATTAATATTTAAACAGGGACATCACATTTAGCATAGCTATTTTAAAGAGAGCCCTGCAAAAACAAAATTTGACAATACAAAGTTACACATAAAATTGACAGAAAAAAGTAAAACTCATTAGAGAAAATACATATAAAGTCTACATAACTAATTAAATCTGTTTAAAAAACCGCTTACACTTAGTTTTAAAAGTTTTAAGGCTTTCCGGCGATCTTATTGCTTTGGGCAGATTATTAAAAGTGCACCTACAATTATATCTGAAACTGCCTTGATATTTAGTGCTTTTAGCCAAAGGAGCTAACATTCCTGGAACTATCTTAAATACTCAGGATACAGTTGCTATTTTTTAATCATCTTTTCCCAAAAACAAGCTCTAATGAAAGTAGAACATTTTAATGACTTATTTTCAAAGGAAAGAAAATTGTTTCATGGAGAAATCAAGATATAAGATAAAATATGCAAACATGCTTGCACATGGGATTTCAAAATGAGGGCACATATTTGTCGGGTGTATGGAGTGACCACTTGTTACCTGCAAACTGTAAATAGGAAGAAAGATGAAAATGACTAGCTTCGTTATAATGAGTTCTTGATTTTACTTAAAATCATAGGAACACCTCATGTGTTTAACAAAACCCATGCAGACAAATTCACCATGCTTAGAATATTGTTTACTTGACTTCTTGGTCAGAAAATTACATAGCATTGAATTTAAAATTCCTAAAGTTATATCTTTTGACACAGAATCTTCTATGAGGTAAAACTTCTCAGACATGTCAATACTTAAAAGTAATAATATATTTACTGGGCCATGGAGTTATGAAATCAAAGGGTTTGATACATCATCTAATGAGTATTTTCGCAAAACTTTCTAGTTGGGAACTCTCTCAAGTTGGGGGTGCATCTTATAAACAAGTGCATATTATAAACAATGGTTATTCTCAGGATTTCATGAAAAAGTTATGATCAGTTTGAATACTGGAGAGTATGTTCTTCCTGTTTAAATCACTAGGAAGTGGAACCAGCTGTGGGTGAAGCTCTTTGCCGATTGTTCCCAGAAGATGAGACAGTGGAGCTCAATCCAACTCACCACTCATCAACAGAAAGACGACGAAGGAAGGAAAGGGATGCTGCTAGGTTAGCAACAATCATCATATCCTGCAGGCAGGCGGACATGCATGTGATACCCTACTCATGCCTTCATTGAGATGTGATTTTGTCTTATTCCATAAAGGACCATCATTGTTTCGCAGGAAACAAAAAGTCACAGATGATCTCTGTCATCATAACAGGGCACACAATGGATATGTAATCAACAGATTTATCCTGCTCTGCCCCACCAAGTGCTTCATTGCTATCTCCTCTGGAATCTTGTTCTCATATCTTATATTTTGCTGTGCTTTTTAGGAATTGTGGAAATGTTGTGATCAAGCTTTACTTCCACTATGAAATGGACTTAAGGCCATTGGCCCGCCTAGGACATTACCTCAATGGATTTACTTCAAAAAAAAGACTATTCAGTTACATATCAAGATCTTATGTTGAAAATGAACTGACTTCCTTTGGACTGAAAATTTTATTTGCAACTCTGGCATTTTTGCTGCTTAGCAGGAGAACTTACCAAATTACGGATGCCTTCAAAACTTGTTTAAAAAAAGAGATCTTTCTTTAGGCTTGAGAGAAGTTTTCTTGTGCCATGTGTATTTTTGAAGGTGGTGATTAATGCAGATGCAGTTGCAGAAGATAACTGCCATTAATCACCCTTTTGTTCTATTATTTTGCACAACTATCCAGGATTTTCCACAGCCTTTGGTTTGTCCATGGATCTACTTTAAAAAAAAAACATTTATAATGTCCAACCAAAGGACACTAGTAGGGGATTGAAGTTCTGGTGTGGGGAATGCTTCAAGGGACCTGCAATAGCTTACCCTTTTGTCATGTACAAACTTGACTGAACTTTAGCTTTTGTGTAGTCACAGTTCTTTAAAATGTGTTCCTGCAACTACAGTTCAAATCAGTTGCATTATCAAGTGAATGAGTCTGTGACACTCATGTGGCATATTAAGATGTTGACACTTGTGGATCTCTGAATATTTTCATCCTTGGGACTTGAAAGATTAGTCATTGGGACTAAGTTACTTCAACACCTAGGACAATATCAGTCCACATTCAGAAACAGAGTCTGCCCAGGAGAGCAAGTGGTAGTTGCTGTTTGGAGGTGACAGCACTGTGCTTCCATGAAAATTAACTTGACATTAGCATGCCTTTAGATCTTTATTGGTACATGATCACAGCCATTATTATCACAGGCCTGGTTCTTAAAATTCATGCTGTCATCCCTGGCACAACAGGCTGGCTGTTCTGACGGGTAAGGGTCCACAACTTCTGGCAATACTTAATTTTGAAATATTTTTATCATTAGGCATCGTCCGAGACACTCTGAGGAACTGCGCAAGACAAAAAGAAAGCACAGAGGTAATTAGTTTTCTTCATCATTCTCTATGCTACTGATTTGGATGGTCAAAGGTGGGGTATTCTCTAGAACCCATAGAATTTTATCCTCATCTACCATCAAATGTTTATGTAAAACTTTACCACTAACTGGGTTTTGAGAGAAACCAAATGTTTTCAAATGTGTTTTTAAAATTTCGCTTTAGACACCTCCATTTTAGTGCAATTCACTGACCAGGTTTTATATGCTAAACTATGAGATGTCCATGCTGCTTTAGTTGTTGCATGGAAATCACAATTTTAGTCAAGAGTTCTTATTTGTGTAGCCCTGACTGTTCAGACAGATTGCTAAAAGAAGGGGAAAAGAAGGTCTCAGATGTAATTACAATGTACCTAGGCAGCCATTTTACTAAGCATTATTTCAAATGGTGCTATCCAAAGTGAAAGTGTAACCCACTCAAAGCAATTTTTCTAGAGATTGAATACTTTTTGAGATGTTAAGACAGTTGGTAAGTGTCATAATTTCATATTTACTTTTTGATGGTGGGGATACAACTGCTTTGGTTTCTGAAGGATACTTCTCCTTTAAGTGAAGAGAAACTGTTGTACCAATTCCCTCTGACAATGACCTAACACTCAAGACATTAGATTCAAAACTCTTAATAGTGGCTAAGTTTTGTTATCAACGTAGTTGGTAATACCAAATTACCTTGTCGTTCTCTCCCACCAATGCAGTACCACAGTTTTGTTAGAAACCTACCTGCGTTATTCATGTTGTAGTAATTGGCTTGGCTGAAACTATTTTGGTGAATAAAACTGCAGCAAAAGTCAAGTATATATATTAAATTGTGTTCATGGTCTCCCTAAGTTTACAGTGAGAGAATGGTAGCATGAAATTTGATTTTGATTCCATTTTCTATTTACTGAGATTTCACATTAGTTGTCTTTGTGTTTTGAATTGAAATTTAGAATTAACTTTGATTGTTGTGGGTAGCCAATTTTGACTTGTGGGTAGCCAGTTTTGATCCTTTCAAAACCAAGTCAAAAGTTAGCTACCAGGAAGTCCCCAATAGGTTCTATTGGGATGCTACAAGAGGGTTTTTGAGAACTAGTGAAAACTGGAGCACAGTTATTGAATTTCTGACCTTCTGATTGGCTAGATGGAACCAGGTTATAGGCTTGTAACCTAGCTTCAAGGTCATAAATCTAGGTCCAATAAATATGGTCAATGAATTAGCTAGTGAAGTCAAAGAAAGATTTTCTGTTTTTTTGTTTACACAAGTAAAGAGATAACAGAGCTAACAAAGAAAATGCAAGTCCCTTATCACCTAAAAAGGGAATAAATTAAGTTTGAAAATATTTCAACCTATGTAACGGAAAATTGAGCAGTTTTTATTTCCTAAATACACAATACTGGTAGGATTTGTTTACATTTTGCAATAACATTTGCAACAAGCTGAATTTAAGGTATTTGTTTTACTGACTGAATGGAGTGGCTTAACAATCTGAATGGGGCAAATTCAAAACAACATGATAAACAAAATAACTGATTCGTGCCTGAAATCTTTTTAATACATTTATAAATTATAATTTTTTCTTTTAAAAATCTTTTAAGATAAAGACAGTTCTTTTAAAAATCTTTTAAGATTGTGTTATTAGGTTCTCTTTTTTTAAATATTTTAGCATGTAGTTAGGTGGTCCACATAAGCAAATGCTGCCCTTATCATGACCTTATTCAAATAAATTGTGTATGTATGTATGTATTTATGTACGTACGTACATAAATACAAGATGGCACATTCTACAAAATGGCCTTACTCAAATCGATCTAAGCAGCCATTGATTGCTTTCTTTGCATGCTTCCCCCTATGAAACTTCAAAGCACAATAATTTGGGCCGATCTGCTTGAAAAAGTTTCAGGTTGGGCTTATTCAGAGGGTGTAAAGCTCTGTAAACTTTCCGTATATCCACTTTTCCTTGGAAGAACATTCGCAAATGTGCAGAGTTTTAAATTCACCCACTGGCATGTGTGCTCATGAAGTTGTAAATCATGTCATCGTTATTTTTGGAGCGGAAGTTGCTTTTTTCATGCAGTGGTTGTCAAACAAAGTAACAGCTGGGTTTACTAAAACAATTATCCTACTTGCTGAATATGAGATGATTATAACCAACTCGCTGCAACGCGCCAGATTGGGAACCCTCAGAATAGCACCACTAATGAGTGTTAGGTTTGGAGCACTGTATGTTATTTTACCCTAAGCACTTGTCAAATGGTTTTACGTTTTGTAATTGGCTGTCTCACCTTTTCGTTCATTTTCCACTTCCATTCGAACCCTTGGCTTTCATTTGGAAGTTAACCTCACCTCATACTTGCACATTAATAAATTGATTGATTGATTGATTGATTGCATTTAGTAGCCGAGCTGCTTGTGGTCGACGGTGTGTTTCAGCTTTGAGGAGTTGAATATTACTTTTTGTGAAACTAGTTATTTCTGAAAAGTAACATTTTAACTTGAACTCAAAAATAAATTTTGCCTTTGATGTATTATTTCAAAGATTTTATGGTATTGATTACCTTCTAGTTTCAGCGTCAAGGCATCATGCGCGAGATCACCATGAACCAACATCGCGATATGACGACAGGTAACTTTTTTATATAGCGTTTTCATGATAACTTTGGAAGGTTTTCTTATAGGAGAAATCGCCATGAAAGAATCAAGGGTTCTTTTTTTTCTTTTTTCTTTTTTTAATTAAGCAGGCTACCATAGTTTCTATCGCACTCACAGCAGTTCCAGCAATACTTTTTTTTTTGCTTGATAAAACAACAGGTTATTTGAGAATTGTCTCAATTCTTGTCCAATTTGGCCAGTTTTCACCGAAAGTAAGGAGAAATAGCAACTTCTTGTTTAAGCTTTCAAGAGAAAGGAAACGTAATTTACTAAATAATGCTAAACTTTTTTTTATATACTTACAGAGCATTTATTCATCTGTTATTATTTATTTTTGTCTAGATCTCGTTATGGTGGTGTGAGGCGTGAGACTCTTCTCCACGGAGTAAGTAATTTGTAAAATTTAGGAGGAATACAAAGCAGTGAAGGAAACAAAAGACTAGAGTAGTCACTGGGAGTGGGAGATGGGAGTGGGCAGATGGGGTAATAAGTGGACTGGTAAGCCCACATTGTACAACGCCAGACTGCCGTGTGTGAGGTCAAGGGTTAAAGTCCCACACTGAACCAAACTCAGGGTAAAAATAACTGAGGAAAATATGCTTCCTTTGCAACAACATCTGCAAATGGCGAGACGAGGATGAGGGCAAGTACCTGTAGGTCCTGCCTCTTACGTTTTCTCTTTAGTGGTTGGCAGGGGACGTAAAAGAACCGGTATTGTGATCTGGACTTGTGTCCAAAATTGGAGGTACCTGCAAAATTTCCTCTCAAAAAACTGTAAATTGCGCAATGCAGTATGGCCAAAGTCCCCCGCGAAGGGTTGTGAAGTGCGTTAGAATATATTAGTGTGGATAAATTGCTATATTAATGCCACAGTTGTGAACTTTTTCCAGCAAAGGAGCCACAGATTAACGGCATTCTTGTTTGTTTGCTTAAATACAGAGCAACCAGTTGTCTTATTACAGTACTATTCACATCAAGAAGGCCCTGAAAGGTCCTTAAACTAGCTCTATCTCCCACTTTTTTTGTATCTTGTTCTGTTATAACTTATGAATGCGTCATTTTTCAGTCCTATTCAGACTACATGCGGGAGTACCAGCGGTCAAGACACTCTTCTTCTTTACCTCCACTACGAGTAAGGACGAAGATATTGGCTGTTTTTGAACTTATTTACAGACAAGCTAAAATTGAGGTTGAACCTGTGTGTTTGGGTAACAGAAATGCTTGTTGTAACTGGGGAAGATCACTACTGATTAAAAAAAAACTGGGATTTATTTTACTTTTTCGTAGGAAATGTCCGGGTAACTAAAAGCTCAACCAGGTAGAAAGGATTAAATGGAGATAATTGGGCAAATCTTGAGTTTGGCAAATCAACAGTCTCATTACTTCTTAGCTAAAGTATATCAAACAGTAGACGTAACCGCTGTTTACATAATGTGATGAAACAAGCAACATGTCACTAAGTTAGGAAGGTTCTTCTCTCTAAGAATCAACCCACGTGGGAAATGAGAGTTTTCAACGCCTTTCACATTTAGCCTGCTGTTAGGCACTTAAGGGGGGTTGACAAAAACAACCGTTTTAAAGGCTTTAATTCTGTTATGCAATAAGTGTGCCTGTGACAAATTCCTGTGACGACATACCGTGTTACTGTCTACCTTTTTAGTCACATTTCTCGACTCGAACAGTAGACGTGCCATCATATTACCCACCACTGCACATAAGTCATAGCAGTTCACGAAGTGGAGGTTACCACCGACCAGTAAGTATTTGCATGCTCTTCTACTCTGTGCTGGAAACAGGGCTGCTTTACTTAGACATCCTGTTGAAAGGAATTCTGCTTTCAAACTGCAACTGAGACTAAATGACAACAAACGTCAAACATAGGCATGCTAAGCGTGCGAGAATTATTTTTTTGGGCGAGTAGGGTCTAAATGGTACAATGTGAAACGGATGTTTTAATTTTTTAAAGAGAAAGAGCATTAAAAGATGAATACCTTAATACAGATATTTGCCTTAGAACGGCGATCTGATTGGTGAGAGATACATACCCTAATAAGACGATCTGATTGGTGAGAGATACACCCAAATGTGGGAGCTGATTTGTGCGAGTTGCTGTTGTTGTTGTACTTTTCCTGAAATGGCACCTGTATAAAACAGAGAATTGGCAGCAAATGGAATGTTGTGGCTACTGCCTCCAACAGGAGGTGAAGTCATATACGTCGTCGAGATGACTAAGAGAGTGTAACAATAGCTGTCCTTTGTTACATTTCCTTTACCATCTACTGCCTGTAAAATTCTGCTGTGGTTACTTCAGTGAGGCTGATCTTTCTCTAGTGATGATTAAAACGTACAGTTTTGGAAACGGTTAATTGCAGAAAATTTATAGAAGCGTTTCTGTTTTTCAAAGCTTTTAGGCTGGTAGCAATGCTGGTTTTTTTTCTTTTGTTTTTGTTTTTGTTTTTGTTTTCTGGAGGCAATATCTGTGGAACTTTTATTCGAGATGTTTGACGGCCACCTAACACCGACTATTCCTCAACATACAAGACGAGCAAACATTTTTTTGCCATCTTATGATATCATTATTCAATGTCCCTTTCCTGCATAGTAGGACACACTTCTGTGTAGAAGGCTATTATTCTTCCATAACAGGTGACATGATATTTATCAATAATATTGTGGTTTTCCTTTTGTAAGGTTGATCAATATGCAGCAGCCTGTGATGAATTCCTCAGAAGAACACAGTCTGATCGTGGAAGTAGCAGTCGATACCGTAGTAGGCGCAGATAGCGCTTCAGGAATCTTATTTGTAAAATATTTTCAGTGACTCAAATTGTTCTATTGTTTATTTCTTCCATTTAATATTACGCAGACTTTTCAGATTTGGTTTAGAACTGTATTAATTTTTCAATCATTTGTAGAACTTTTTATTGGAACGGAAAGCAAGAATTCCCTCAGCAATCTTTCGTTATAATATGTTCTTAATATGCTTTCTCAAATGTTAATGTATTACAATGAAATTAAATTATAACAAGAAATATGCCATGTTTCCTTTATCTAAGACTGTCATCCTCTCTTGAGGTGTTGAGCGTCAATCTAACGGAGATCAACAAAAGGATAAATGGAGTATGTGGGAAGAGCCGGGAATTTACCGAAATTCAAGTTCATAATGACTTCTGAATATGAGAAGAATAGCAGAGAGTTTGTATAACTCGGCTCACTGATCAAACAGGGTGCCTCACTAAAGAACGGAAATCAATTTAAGGGGGGAGTGGGATTAGCATAATGACTGCTATACACGGCCTTTTGTGCTCCCCACTTTTGATCTATTTTCTCATCTCAAGCTCTACGTTATGCAAACAGACTGAGCTTAACACCTATGGGAACATCGTAGGACGTCGTAGACTGGAGTTTTCTAGAGGCTTTGCGCAGTATATTCAAGAAAGAAGTGTTATTT